ACCTATCCTCAATTACTGTTTGGTGAAGTAAATGGAAATGAATCTATGGTGATATATTATTTATGATTTATTAAAGCTTGCCCGAGGATTCAGAAAGCAAAGCCAGCCTCAAGCTATAGAGATGAGCATTGGTGATACACACCTTTAATCCCAGGATTCAGGATTAAGAGGTAGATAGATCTCTAAGTCCAAGACCACCATATATTGTTGTGAGCCAACATGTGGGTGCTCAGTCTTGCCTATAAGGGTAAAACAATACCCAATCTCCAGAGAAGCTAAGAAAGACACTGGAAAGCATGTTAGCTACCTTAGAGATACAGGAATTAAGGTCACCTGCCACTCACCTTGCATCTCTACACTACTCCCTGTTATTAAGCCAGGCATCAAAGACTATCATCCTGTTCAGGACTTAAGAGAAGTAAATAAGAGGGTGGAAATTATCCACCCTGCTGTGACAAACCCTTACAGTTTGTCCAGCCTATTGGATCCAGGAAAAACTCCAAACACTGTCTTAGAACTAAAGGATTCCTTTTTCTTTCCACCTCTAGCACCTGTGAGCCAACTTATATTTGCCTTTGAATGGGCAGACCCCCAGTCAGGGTCCAGTGGCCAACTGACCTGGATTAAACTATGACAGGGATTCAAGAAATCACCTACTCTGATGAAACTCTTACTGCAGACCTGCTTGGGTACCACCAAGAGCACCTGTCACCCTCTTGAAACATGTGGATGATCTCCTCATTGATGCTTGCACTCTGAAGGAATGGCTTGAAATGCTCTAGCTATCCTGTGTCTGCAAAAAGACTCAGTTGTTCTCTGAAAAGGTAACTTATCTGAGGTAAAGTAACTTATCTAAGGTATTGCTTAGATGGCAACAGCAGGACCCTGTCTTCAAGCAGATACCAAGCTGTATTAAATGCCCCTGAGCCACAGGATAAAAGGTAGTGAGAGAATTCTTGGGTACAATTAGATACAACAGACTATGGATATCCAATTTTGTAGTGAAAGACCCCCCGAAGAGGTACTTTCGTAGAGGGAGACCCACACCCAGGAATCAGCGAGGCCACGAACTTGGATGCAAAAACAAGAGGCTTTATTGGAGACGCGGGTACCCGGGGCGACTTAGCTTCTGTGTGGCTAAGCGCGCCGAGCCAAGGGAAAGGGGTCCTTATATAGGGAAAAAGGCGCAAGCTAGGAGCAGGGATTCTATTGGATAATTCTAATGAGGCATTATACAGAGCTATTCCCATTGGTCAATGTATATGAGGCGCTATACAGGGTTATTCAAATGAGGCAAAGTACAGAGTTATTCAAATGAGGTGAAACATAGAGTCTTTCAAATGAGGCGAAATACAGAATCATTTCCATTGGA